TTAAAATCCAAAAAAAAAAATTTAATTAATTTAAATTTAAGTAATTAAATAATTGTTTAATACATTACTTTAATTTATTTACTAGTTTATTATTTAAAAATTAAATTAAGTCCTTCGTTTACTGTTATTTATTAATTAATAAATTATTTAATATAACTTAAAAAAATTATTGATGAAAGTTTTATTTTATATAAGTAATTGCGACATCCGCCAATATTAACTATTAGTTTTATTGTTGTTATTGTTATTATTATTATTTAATAAATTAATAATATGAATAATAATAATAATACTAAATAATTGACGGATGGACATATGCAATTCTTACTTATTTTTCGTAATGAATTATTTTCAAAAATTCGCGCGGTTTATATTATAATTTCTTTTGCTACCGCTAGGTGTCGATGTTTTAGTTTCGAGAATCTCTCCTAATAATAGGTATGTTCTCGTTGCCTGCACTTCTTACACTTTAACACCTAACCTGTACTATGCTGTTCTCTTTGCCAGATGTGACGCAATTTTACCATACATTTCGCTACACTTTCTGCACCTACTCTTGAGGTGGTGTAAAAGTTACACTTAGTGTAGGCAACGAAAACATACCTATTGTCATGATTTGAGGAATATATAAGTACGAAAAACCGTACATCTAGAAACTGTACAAAATTTATGTCCTGTTTGAAGGTAAGTGCTATACTCTTTATCTGAGGATTCTCATTAAAATTAGTTTCTTTAAAAACTAAATGAGATCAGTCTTGATAAAGAAGCTATCAAATTGTTAGATCTTTCTATTAATAAATAATGAATTCTAACACAAAAAAGTAATCAGCTTTCAATCAGCCCTTTTCAGGGCTACAAAAATTGCATTGTCTTTAATGAGATTTTTCAGTTATTTGATTGACTGTTCCCGACATTTTCCATTTTGAACATCTGATTTAAGATTCTCAATCAGCAACCCTGAAAACACCCAAATAACGAGTTTCAGGCGAATCTGAGCGATTTTTAGAAAAATCGTCCGCCATATTGGATCCGACATTTTGAATTTTGAAAAAGTGACATCATTTTGGTAATCAGTGACCACGAAAACCTCAGAGTAATTAGTTTCAGGCGAATCTGAGCGATTTTTAGAAAATTCGTCCCCCATATTGCATCCGCTATTTTGAATTTTGAAAAAGTGACGTCATATTCGTAATCAGCGACCCCAAAAACCCCCGAGTAACGAGTTTCATTAAGTTTTTTGAAAGTCATCGTCTAAAATGTCTATTTGTTTATATAATTTGTTTATAACAATTAAAAAATGGGTCTACAACACCATTTTACAATCCAGAGAACTATAGGTATAAGTTAAAATACTTAGCGTTAAAAAAAATACCCATATTTTCGAGATAATAATAAATATGTAAAAAAGTGCGTTTTTTTCAGTTGTTTATACAAATTTAAATAATTATGCTAATTGAAAATCAAGAATCGGACTCGAGCGATCTCTTAGCAATTTAATTAAGATTATTTAGAAAAAAGAAAATCTAACATCGGTTAAGATTTGTAGACTCTAAGTTATTTTGAACCCTACTTTTCAATTTCAAACCACTGCGCACATTGGCATTTTTTACAATTTACTGCTTAAAATTGTCTGGAACCTACAAATTTTATCGGATTTTCATGGACTTGGTCTTAAATTAAAGATAAAATTTCCAAAAGATCCCTCTAAACCAATTTTTGAATTTTAAATTGTTTATTTTTTTTTTTGTTATTCAAAGTTAACAATTTACAATATTTTTAGAAAAAATCATGTTTATTTTTTTTATTTTTTCATTGCAGATGATTGGAATCAATTGAAATTAGTTCAGCATGACCACCAGACAAATAATAATGTATAATACAATTTATTTAAATTGTTGCAAACAATGTTAACTAACAAATAGACATTTTTTTGTAAATATTTTTTTTTGCAGACAAATTTATGTTTATTTAAGTAATCTATGTCGATTTTGGTATAACATTATTTTGAATTTAATAATTACCATTGTTATTAACAATTATATGAACAATAATCTAGTTATCAATAATCAAGTAGAGCTTTACATGACTTTAAACTCGTTAAAATACGAAAAATAATTTTTCTTTTTGCAGAAATAAGCCAATTATTTGTTTAAAAAGTAAATAATTTGTTTGTAACAAATGTAATTGAGGGTCCTTATCAAAGAACCGGTTATAAGTTTTTGAGATTAAAAATTCTCGACCTCTAAATAAAAAAAGGATTTGAAATTTTAATTTCTTGAAAAAATTTTGTATTGGTATAAAGATTACCCAAATGTTTCTCAAAGAATTGGGATTAAAAACAGTTTAATTTTTTATTTACAGGGCGATGATTTCGAGCTTAAAAAACTTATAACCGGTTCTTTGATAGGGACCCTCAATTGTTTATGCTAATACATTTTTAAAGTTTTTGAAAGAATGTACATAGGGGAGAGTGGGGCAAAGGCGCTAGGTTTACATTTATCGATGTATATTTTTTAAATTAAGCAATTAATTTATGCGGTCTTTGTTTTTCATTATTCCAAAACTAATTACCAAGAAATTTTAATAGTTGTTATTTAGTATATTATAATTATAAATACATTATTTAATGAAATTTAAAAACAGTGCAAAAAATGCCATTGCCCCACACGCTGGGGCAGCGACGTTTTCGATTATATTTCTAAAAGAAAGCATTTATAAGCCTTAAAAAATTAACAAGTGATATTTATTAGTCTAATATTCACGAAACATAAGGTTAACAACATATTATTAAAAGAATTAAACTATTTAAATAAAAAATAAAAACTTTTAGTGATTTTAACCTTATATTGTGAATTAATACGTAGAAATTTCGAATATTCAATTATTTTTAACCAAATTGTGTTCAATATTGCCTTTGCCCCACATAACAAACTTTTTTTTTACTTTAAATTAAAAATATTTAAATACAAAATTAAACTAAAACACAACGCCAGTTGTGTAGAGAAATATTTAATTTATTTACATGTTACGTTTTTAAAAATTAAATACTTAAACTTATGTTTTAAAAAATAAAAGTTTGTTCAGTAAAATTATCATTTTATTTTTGCAAAATAATTTGTTTGTTATATTTCTTAAAATATTTGATATTTTTAGGTTTTTCTTTTTTTAATAAATTGGTCTGATTGCATTTCAACTTAATTTTTAATACCAATTAAATTAGACAGAAAATAAAGGAGATATTTTAAAAAACGTCTTTGCCCCGCATAGCGCCTTTGCTCTACTCTCCCCTATTATATAAACAATTTATGTTTAAAAAATGCCTAAAATGTTTACAAATGTCAAAGAAACTTGATTATTCAAAATGGCTTTCATCCAGATAGTATATATTTTAAAAAACACAGGAATATACTGAATTATTAATGATTTATTTTTTTATTAGAATAAATAAACCAGACGTTTCGACACCAACGTTGGCGTCCTCTTCAGTGATACATTAATAACATAATTATAATATTCATACATTTTACAAAAAAACTAAAAAAAACATGTTCTCATAGAAATAAGACATGTTTAATTAATAAAACTTGATTATTGTTCAAAATAATTGTCAATAACAATAATAATTTTTAAATTTAAGTAGTATATCTAGGAGAGTTCTAGGACAGTTGCTCAGTCGGTAATGCAGATTCCTACTCTACCAGTGGTGGGTAGGGGTGTTCTACCTTACCGACCGAGTGTAGTTCTTGCTGCCACCGCTAGATGGCGCCACTTGCTAATTCCAAACCTGCTTGGCGGGAAATTTAAAATTTTATTTTCAAACTTTCAAGTGGCTTAGAAAGGATTCTCTGTTTTACCGACCGATTTTTTTAGTTCTGGCTGCCGCCGCTAGATGGCGCTACCAGCAAATTCAAATCCGTTTAGCGGGTAATTTAAAATTTTATTTTCATAGTTTTAAGTGGGTTAAAAGGGACGCTCTGTTTAACGACAGGGTTCAACGATCAACGATAGATGGCGCCACTAGCAAATTCCAAACCCCTTAGCGGGAAATTTAAAATTTTATTTTTAAAATTTCAAGTGGGTTATAAGGGGTGCTCTGTTTTACCGACTGGGTTCAAGTTCAACCTAATAGATGGCGCCACTTTAATTTTTAAATTTCGCGGGCGTTGCTATCCACCATTTTGCTTTACCGACAGAGTTCAAGGATAAACCAATAGATGGCGCCACTTTAATTTTTAAATTTCGCGGATGTTGCTTTCCACTATTTTGTTTTACCGATAGGGTTCAAGGTCAACCTAATAGATGGCACCACAAAAATTAGTGAAAAGATTTATAATTGTGTCACATGCCACGTGTGTGACCTCTAAGTAACCTTAGACCAGACCTGTTACCAAGCAAACTTGACAAACACCCATCGATGAGCAATCTTTTTACAACCCTATTACGTCGATACACGGATGTGATCTGGGTATATAAGGCCCTAAATTTAGATCCAAAAATCAGTATCTAGTCAGCATCCAGTCAGTATCTAATTTAAATCAAAGCAATCGACATCATCTCTGTACCAGTAGTCAGTGCGAATCTATACTCGTTACCTACGATTATCCCAGTCTAAGTAATACCCATCTCGTGTGTGACCGAGCCATTGTCAAACCTCCAAGCAGTAAAAATTGGAAAGGCGGTGCATCTGAACTGACTGTGGACGCACGAGCGGAGAACGGGTTTTCAGCTTCACAAAGAAGCAATAAAGGTAATTAACTAAATCTTTTCATCATATTCTTTCGATACAATTTCTATATCTAATAAACGCCTATTTGTTAAAGGTGTTTATTGGAACTGGTCTTCTCTCGGCAACATACAAATAAAGAACTTCAAGAAATCATTATATACTATTTTATAATAAATTTCATTTTAACTAATTCTTAACTTTTATTCATTGATTCTTTTTCCTCATTCCCAAATAAGATTTCTTCGGAATTTCTTATTTAAAACGAGGATAACAAATGTTAAGAGGTAAGTTACTTTTCACGTAACATACCCTCTTTTCTTGGTGCATCGGCCGGGAAAGCCATAAAGAATCAATGATATTAATTTTTCTAATTCTTATTTTTTCCAAAAATTTATTTTGAGATATAAAAAATATACATGTTTTTAACAATTCTAAAATTTTCTATTAAAATTTGAAACATTTAAAATCAATTTTTAAATCTTATTTTTAACAATTCTAAAATTTAATAAAAAATTGAAACACAAACCGAGAGAGAATCAATTCCAATGATTAAATCATTTCTTTTAAAAATTAATGTCTACTTCTAAGGAAAATATTACACAAGATAAACATACAACTCGATCAAAAATCAAAGAAAACCCTACTTTAAAACTTAACCCAGGAATTCCCTATTTTAAACTTTAAGCTACTGGTACACCTAGATACTCTAACGAAAATCCAAACCCTTTTTGCAAATCCGAATTAGATTCAGGAATTTGTCATTCATTATTTGATAACAATTCTTTCAAAACTGACGAAGAAAGTGACAATACAATTTTAGAAAATAACGGTTCTTTAAATTCTACATTACGAAATAGTTTTAAACAAAGACTCGAAAATTCCATAATTAGCACACACGACAGTGACGACGAAAACAGTCACGACGAGAACAGTGATAGTGAAAATTTAACAGAAAATAACGAAATGGCTCTACCAACAAATCAACAAGTATCTTTACGTGACGCTTTAGAAATAGTTCCTTTGTTTGACGGGACTAACATTCCAATCTCACATTTTATTGAAGGGTGTTTAAAAGCAGAGCATATGCTTCCAGAAGGAGTAGCTCGAAATAATTTAGCAAAATTATTAAGGGCAAAATTAAGTGGGGATGCGCGAAAATGTATTTACGGAACTCAAATAGCAAATGTAGGCGAATTAATAAATAAATTAAAACGCGTATATTTGCCAGTTAAAACAGTGTACCAATTACAGGGAGAATTAGGAAATATATATATGTGGGAAAAGGAAAATATTACATCTTATGCTGCGCGAATAAAAGAAATTGCCGATAAAATTGAAGATGTTCACAGGTTAGGTAATAACAATGCAGTTAACGATGTTTTTAAGGAAAATCTAGAAAAAGACGTGAAGCATTGCTTTGTGCGCGGATTAAGACCCGAAATAGAAATTCGTATGAAAGAAAAACCCACATTCCGAAAGATAGTAAACGACGCGATTGATATAGAAAGGAATTTAAGTGCTAGTTCAGATCTTCGAAAAAGCAAAATTAATGAGGATCATAAAGCTATAAAAATACACTCCTTACAAGATTCTGATTTACCTTGTTCAATTTGTAAGAGACGAAATCATAAAACAGAAAACTGTTTCTTTTCAAAACAACAAAATAAAACATACAGTCCACCAAGACAAACACAAAGATTTTCAAAACCCTATTTTAATAATCAAAATTTCTCAAAAAATAGAAATCCCTTTAACAATGGTAACAATTTTTACAGAAATAAAAATAATAACTCTAACAATTTTATGAATAAACTTTCTAGAAACTTTCAAACTTCACGATACAATAACAATAACGATTATAATAATAATAATAATTATAATAATAAAAACTATAATAATAATAATAATCAGAGATTTTTCAAAAAAGATATAACTTGCAATTATTGTAAAAAATCAGGTCATTATATTAATGAATGTAAAATTAGACCTCCTAGAAGAGAAGAATCATACAACAAACAACAATATTCTAAACAACAATCACAATCTCAATCACACCATATTCAAAAATCACAAGAACTACAACCTCATTTTTCGGGAAACTTGAATTCAACCCCCAGCAAGGGTGGACTGAGGGTAGAATAAATTTAAAAACACCCGTTTCAAAAGAACAAATTACTTTAAACAATTCGCAAACAAATACAATTCCCTCAATTATTATCTCTGCCGACGGTTTAAAATTTCCAGCTCGAATGATGATAGATACTGGAGCTGGAAGAAATTTATTAAAATTAAAAGCAATTGATCCTAGAATTCCAATTGACACAGAAAATATTTTAAAATTAATCGGAATAAATGATTTACCTCTTTACACTTTAGGGCAAATAAAATTAAATATTTTTGGTCATCAAACAATATTTAATATTATCCCAGATGCAGTCCCAGTAGACGAAGACGGTGTTTTAGGGACAGAATTTTTTCGAGACAATAACGTAAACATTAATTACACTTCAAAATGTTTAGAGATAGATAATAATCTTTATCCTTTTGTTTCCACAAAAATTTTAACAATACCAGCACGAACGATAATAACAACTACAGCTTTTCTTGACGAAACTAATAAAAATGAAGGTTACATACCAAGATTGAATTTAGGTTCAGGAATTTATGCCGGAGACGCAGTAGTAAAAAATTACGACAATAAAACATTTTTAAAATTTGCAAACACTAATGAAACTTCAGTAACTATTTCAATTCCTACAATCAAATTAGAAGAGTTTGAAGAAATCAACCCTTATACATCTATCACACAAACTCAAAAATTTGATAACAATGACATGACTTATAATTTACTAAATAATTTTTTAATATCAGAAAATTGTTGTACTTTTAATAAAATAACAATTGAAGACAGAATAGAAGAAATAAAACGTCTTCTTCGTTTAGACCATTTAAACCAAGACGAATACGATCATGTAGAAAATCTTATAAAAAATAACGCTGACAGATTTCAAATGCCTGGAGAACCTTTAGAAGCAACTAATATTTTAAGACATTCAATACCAACTACAGATGACTGCCCAATATTTTCAAGACAATACCGTTTTCCTCAAATTCACAAAGACGAAATAACTAAACAAGTAAATGAACTTTTAAAAAATAAAATAATTAAACCTTCTCAATCACCTTATAACACACCGGTATGGATCGCACCTAAAAAACCTGACTCAAGCGGAAATTTAAAATGGCGAATGGTATTAGATTTTCGAAAATTAAACGAAAAAACTATAGGTGACTCATATCCATTACCTCATATAAATGATATACTTGACTCAATTTCTTCCGCAAAATACTTTTCTGTTTTCGACCTAGCAACCGGATTTCATCATATAAGAATGAATCCCAATGACTCACACAAGACAGCTTTTTCAACACCTCATGGTCATTATGAATTTGATAGAATGCCATTTGGTTTAAAAACAGCACCCGCGACATTCCAAAGACTTATGGACTTAACATTAACTGGACTAATTGGAACAGAACTTTTTGTTTACCTTGATGACATTGTTATTTACGCTGACACACTCGAAGAACATGAAAAAAAATTTAATAATTTAGCTGAACGACTTAGAAACGCAAATCTTCATTTACAACCAGACAAATGCGAATTTTTACGACCGGAAGTAGGGTATTTAGGACACATTATCGATAAAAATGGTGTTCGACCCGATCCAAGGAAAATTATTGCGGTTAAAAATTTTCCTATACCGAAAACAACAAAGAACATTAAACAATTTTTAGGATTAGCAGGATATTATAGAAGATTTATTAAAAATTTTTCTAAAATTGCACATCCACTAAACCAACTTTTAAAAAAGGATACACCTTTTATTTGGTCAGACAAACAACAATTAGCTTTTGACACATTAAAACAACATTTATGCGAAGAACCTCTTTTACAAAGACCAGATTTTTCCCAACCCTTCGTGCTTACAACAGACGCATCAGGTTACGCGATTGGAGGAATACTTTCACAAGGGAAAATAGGAAAAGACAAACCTATTGCATATGCATCTCGAAGCTTAAGCGATACGGAAAAGAAATATGACACTTACGAGAAGGAAGCATTAGCTATTATTTTTTGCGTATCTCATTTTCGACCATATTTATACGGTAGAAAATTTACTTTAGTAACTGATCATAAACCATTAGTATGGTTTCAAAATTCGAAGGATCCTTGTTCACGTGTTTCGCGTTGGAGATTAAAATTAGCAGAATATAACTATGAAGTAGTGTACAAGGCAGGTAAAATGAACGTGAATGCAGACGCTCTTTCAAGAAATCCAATTCCTAACGAAGAAGAATTATTTAGAAATCAAAAGGTGCTCGACGATGATACATTTTTAACATTCGGGGATAATAAAAAATCAAGTGAAAATATTCACGACAGTAATAATACATCTACATTATTACTCTTATTAACTACTCTTCTTAACCCAATACTTAGTGATTACATTACAAACACACAATGGAAAACCATTCTCACTAGAGCACAACGAAAATTAGAAGAAACGGGAATTCAAGAAAAACTTACGGAAAACGTAGAAAAAATATTGCAGCCCATTATCAAGAGGTCAAGAGGTCGTCCTAAAAAATTAAAAAATAAACTTCCCATACAAGAAGACAAGGTTGGTACCAAAAGAAGAGGAAGGCCGAGGAAAGACAAGAAGCCAATCTCAGAAGCTGAAGAAGAAACTGATCCAGAATACTTCGATGAATTAAGAAGAAATAAACGACTTAAAAAGACAAAAGGGAAGAAGAAAAACAAAATCGTAATTCAAGAAAAACCAAATGAAGACAATGAAACTTACTTTTCATCCACAGAAGATGATAGTTCAAAAGAAGATGACGACATATTCGAAGAATCCCTCGATGAAGAATTTTATGAAGAAGAAAATGAAATCTTTCAAGACGCCATGGATAACGAAGAAATTTTTGAAGAAAAAGATAAAATACAAGAAATTGAAAGTGAAGAAAATAACAAAGACAAAGGGCGTAATCTAAGAAGAAAAGAAGAAATTACTCAAGCACCTCCTGTTCAAGAAAAAAAATCTACGAGTAATAAAATTTTGATAGAATGTCGTGACCAATTAACAATGCGAAAAGACAATTATTTATATTTTGTAAGTACTAACGGTACCCCTCTCGACAATGGATCTAAGAGTTTAACAAAAAAATCAATTCTACCCAAATTTAATAATTTACAAAAGGGTTTAGTAAAAGAATTTAAAAAGGGAAAATATTATTATTTTGCACTTCCAATTCAAGAAAATGTCAAAGAAAACTTAACTGATACTCTAAATACAATCAAATCATGTTTTAAGTCTTTACTTTCAATTAGTGATAAATTAAACATTCGGACTATTAGTATAGCAAAAACATCTCAAATTAATCACATTCCTTGGGAAGATATTAAAATTTTAATTCAAGATATTTTTTCAAACTCTAAAACAAAATTTATAATTTGTAATGGGATTACGCAATACCCTAATAAAGAAATTAGACAACAGATATTAGAAGAAAATCATTCATCGGCAATCGGAGGCCATAAGGGAGTAACAAAAACTTTAGCTAAAATTCGTCAAAAATATTATTGGGAAAATTTAAAATTAGATATTCAAAAATACATAAACGGATGTTTACAATGTCAATTAAAGAAATTAGTTCGCGTGAAAACTAAAAATCCAATGATTATCACAGACACACCTACAACTGCTTTTGAAAAAATTTCTATGGATATTGTAGGACCTTTTAACCCTCCAACTAAATCTGGCAACACGTACATTTTAACAATTCAAGATAACTTCACAAAATACTCTTTTGCAATCCCTTTACCTAATCATCAAGCTGCTACAATAGCAGACGCATTCGTGAAAAAATTCATTTGCATATTCGGTTCACCTAAAGGCGTACTAACAGACCAGGGAAGAGACTTTTTGAGCAATTTATTAAAAAGATTAGCAAAACGTTTTAGAATTAAACAATTTCGTACAACAGCTTTTCACCCTCAATCTAACGGATCACTCGAACGTTCGCATCATGTTTTAGCAGAATACTTAAAACAATTTATTGAGAAAAATTCTGAATGGGACGATTGGTTAGAATTAGCAATGTTTTCTTACAATACTAGCATACACGAAGGAACAAAATGCACACCATACGAACTTGTCTTTGGAAAATTAGCTCGTGAACCCTCTAGCGAATCTCCTTCTCAAAACGAAAAATTACAAACATACGATGAATATTTAACTACCTTTGTTACACAATTACACGAAATGAGAGCACAAGCAAGGGAAAATTTAATTTCAGCAAAAGAAAAATCGAAATTTTATCATGATAGAAAAATTAATCCCCTAGAAATAAAAAATGGAGACTTTGTATTTTTATTAAACGGAGGAAAAATTAAAAAACTAGCAAACCAATACTCAGGTCCTTATGAAATTTTAGAAATATTAGGAAAAGGTAATGTAAAAATTAACTTTAAGGGAAAACCATTAATAGTTCATATTAATAGATTAAAGAAATCAAAAATTAATTCTTAACTTAACAAATATAAAACAATTATCTAATATAATCTTTTCTCGTTTCAGATCTGAGAAGCAGAACATATATTTTCAACAGGAGTACTAATCATATATTTTTTCTATTTTTCCCAATCCTTATTTAGCAACACCCATTTTCCTCACCTCGGAGGAATGTATTTTGAAAATGATAATTACCGATAAATTTATCTTTTCTCAGATTCACATGAAATACAAACTCATATCTAAAACTAATTCATATTTCCAAATGATTATGGGATCCAATATTCTTTAAAAAATTCTTTGCAAAGTCATTTTCTGTATTAAAAATACCTTCCTCTAGATTCACACGGATATTTTGTAAATAAAAGATTAAAATTTTTATCAAACTAAATTTTTTTTTAAATTTACAATTTCTATAGTTAAACAAATAAAAACAGAAAGAAATAAAAATAATTACAAATTTTTTTTTTAATAATGCTGCAAAACTAAAATTTAATAACAAGAATAAATGTTTTTAATTTTTTGATGTTCTTATCTACAAGTAGCAAGAGATGCAATTATTAAATAAATTTTGAAATTGATAAAACGATTGTATAAAGAAAAACATAATACATGGATTTAGTAAATTCCTTTAGTAAAAACAAATCCATTTATTATGTCAAATTATATTCTTTATATCTTACAAGAAGAAGATTCTTAAAAATAAATCCCTTATATAAAATAACATATAAAAGACAACTAAATATTCAAAGTAATAAATTAGAAGAAAAGCCACTTTTATTAAATTCTCTTAACATTCCAAATAATCTAACAAAATCTTTAATAATTAATTATATACCAGAATTTCCAAAAATTTCAAATACAACATTTAAACAATATAAAAAAATTTTCAGAAATAACATATATAACCTTAATAACACTTTTAACAGAAATAATTATAGCGCTATTCAGAATTCAATAAAAATATCAATAAATCTTTTAAAGAAAGTTATAAAAAAATAAATTTCTTTTGCTTATATATAAAATTTTTTTTTAAAACTATTCTTCGAAAAGCATTGATTAAAAAAAATGGTTCCAGAAAACCAAACTTTTTATGAAAGCGAAACATTAGCTCCTATTAGATCAGCTTTTCAAGACAGACTATATAACGAACTAATACGACATATATGTTGTAGAAAAATCACAACCAAAAACACATTTATCAAACAACAAGGGTTAATATATTGCGAAGATTGTTATCCGCTATTCGACAATGAATTAGAGATGAGACAAGACGATCATTTAATAGCATGTGCAAATATAAGCCTAGATTGCTTTAGATGCAAAGAAGTATTATACAAAGTAGTAAGAAGATCATTATTTTGTAGACAATGTTACATCGAATTAAGGGTAATACTACAAGATATAGTTTGGGAAGAAAACAATTTATTCTCAATTTAACATTAGATAAACAAAAATAATAAGTACATATTAAATAAATAACAAAACAAAAAATATATATACATAAAGGATAATTAATTAAAATCATAAACTCACTATTCTTTACGAATAATCTTATAATAGTGACTTTATGAAATAAAAAAAAGAAGGAAAAATTATATATAAACCTTCTATTTTTTTAAATCTTTTCTACAATTTGATAAATATTTTAACAAAAGATATATGAACAATTAATATTAAATAAATCTTACTCAATCACTGTGAAGCAATTATGCTCTATGAGTTATTAACAGATAATATTTAACGATTTGATTTCAATACTTAGTTTCCTACGACCTAATTTCGTAATATTCTAAAATTTCGATTTCCTAATAAAAATAATGTATAAAATATAAAAAAAATTATGTTCAATCATTTAATATAAACTATGTACATTGAACAATTATATTATTGTACAACTCAATGACAAATAATAGACCACGAATAATTTTAAAACTTTTTGCAAAATATTAACAAATAATCATGTACTTTGAATAATTAAAATAAAAAAAAGAATAATGTACAACAAATAATGTTCTTCGAACAATTTAAAAAAAATTAACAAATATTATTAAACAAATTATTTTTAATTAACAATTACTAAACAACTTTATTTTACACAAAATATTTTTTCAAAAATTGTCCTATGATTTAAACAAAAATTTTTCAAAAATTGTTCTACGATTTAAACTAAATTTTTCTTTTTCTACGATTTATACAAAATTTTTTCAAAAAAAAAAACAAAAAAATTTTTTTCTACGATTTAAACAAAATTTTTCTTTTTATACAAAATGTTTTCAAAAATTGTTCTATGATTTAAACAAAATTTTTCTTTTTCTACGATCATTGTTCTTCAATTTACACAGTTTTTCAAAAATGTTCTACGATTTATGCAAAATTTTTCTATGACTTACTCAAAACTTTTTCAATTAACAAATAATGTTAAAAAGATTTTACTCAATAATGTTAAACAAACATATTGTACTACGATTTACTAAAATATTTTGTTGTTCACAATAAACACTAGAATAATGTTTTCTTGAAATTCTTTTTCTACGATTCTACGATTTAAAAGAAAGTTAACCTTATGTATTACGATATCGAGAATTTTAGACAAATCTTCTGCCGAAGCTTCAATCGCAAATTTTCAATTGTGCGATTGAATTAAGAGGGGAGGTGTCACATGCCACGTGTGTGACCTCTAAGTAACCTTAGACCAGACCTGTTACCAAGCAAACTTGACAAACACCCATCGATGAGCAATCTTTTTACAACCCTATTACGTCGATACACGGATGTGATCTGGGTATATAAGGCCCTAAATTTGGATCCAAAAATCAGTATCTAGTCAGCATCCAGTCAGTATCTAATTTAAATCAAAGCAATCGACATCATCTCTGTACCAGTAGTCAGTGCGAATCTATACTCGTTACCTACGATTATCCCAGTCTAAGTAATACCCATCTCGTGTGTGACCGAGCCATTGTCAAACCTCCAAGCAGTAAAAATTGGAAAGGCGGTGCATCTGAACTGACTGTGGACGCACGAGCGGAGAACGGGTTTTCAGCTTCACAAAGAAGCAATAAAGGTAATTAACTAAATCTTTTCATCATATTCTTTCGATACAATTTCTATATCTAATAAACGCCTATTTGTTAAAAGTGTTTATTGGAACTGGTCTTCTCTCGGCAACATACAAATAAAGAACTTCAAGAAATCATTATATACTATTTTATAATAAATTTCATTTTAACTAATTCTTAACTTTTATTCATTGATTCTTTTTCCTCATTCCCAAATAAGATTTCTTCGGAATTTCTTATTTAAAACGAGGATAACAAATGTTAAGAGGTAAGTTACTTTTCACGTAACAATTGATATATAATTTATAAGACTTTTTAAATTTCGCGGGCATTGCTCCCTACTATATTTTTCTACATAGTTTAAGGTCAACCTTATAGATGGGACCACTAAAATTTAATTTTACAAACGTTGCAAACTACTATCTTGATTTTTAAATTTCCCGGACCTTGCTTAAAAAAAGTAAGTTTAGAGTTCTACAATTAAAACTGATGTAATGTTTACTAATGCAATTAAAATTTATTGAATAAACAATAAGCTGTTTGAATTTAAATTGAATTACACCAGATCGGTAATGCAGATTTTTACTTTATCAGCAGTCGTCAAGGTAGGGATCTGACAAAACATTTTGACTCGATCGATAATGTAGGAATCTGTTTTACCAACCGAGTTAGTTTTAGGTTAGATCGCTAGATGGCGCCATTAAAATTTAATTTTACAGGTATTGCAGTCTACTATTTTTTGTTTTTAAATTTCCCGGGCATTCGTGTCCACCATTTTGTTTTTAGAACATAATAATCCAATAAATGGTGCGTGTTCTTGAGTGTGAAATATAATAATAGTAAGTAAATAAAAATTATATAAATATTTTATACCATTCTAACATCACTTTAGCATGTTTATATTAAATAAATTATTCTTCTAATTTCTATTTTTCTAGAACCTTTTTTCCGAACTCTGCAATAATATTTTTCTCTTGAATTTCTAGTTTACTAATATTATTTTTTCATAACATTACTAAACATAACCTTCAAATCTATTGTATTAAACATAACCTTAAAATCTATTTTATTAAACATAACCTTAAAATGTAAACCTTATTATCTAACGTAATACTAATGAAGGTATTTAATTAAATACAATATTAATAACAGTTCATACATTTATTATATTCAATATACAATATTTACACTTGTTTTATTTTAAATTCAATATGGTTGTATGGGCCACCAATATACTTCAGCCGTAATTGTCCAGAACTAATAGCTTCTTGCATTTGGTCCAAGCATATCGAGTCATCAGTGAACATTGGTACAAATCTTGAAGGTAGGAACGTATTGAACTTTTTATCCACCTCAGCGACGACCTTGACTCCATACCTGGTGTTGACAACCTGGATCTTTGTTATAGGATACTTATGTCCAGGAGTCAGCTCGGAAAGCGGCATCGTAGGTAGGAAAGCATCCATGCGACCAATGGCGTTGATTTTAGTTAGATCCATCTTTTCTTAGAGATAATACTTTGGGAAGTTACAAAACAGAATTACTAAATCGGCTTAGATGCCTCTATTTATACTCAAAAATCACGCAATACCCCCACCACTGCTTCTGCGCATGCGCATTACCCCACCATTACTTCTACGCATGGCATTATCCTCTACTCTTATTATTGAGCCACGCCTATTTTGTGACCTTATAAGACAAGTCTAGACTAGTTTTAACATGTTTAATAGTTTTACACATGTGTAATAAAGATAATAGGATAGGAAAGGGTTAATTAAAGTAAACATTAATAGACATTTAATACATTTATTCATTATATAGGAAATTTTCACAATCATTATAAAAATCTTTCAATGTACAATCATTGTCAACTTCATCATTATTTTCTATATTATTTTGTAGTACATTCGATGGTTGTATCAACCAATTTTGTATATTACATACATTTTTCACAGCACAGTTGCTAAAGCTACGTGTGTGATTTGTACATGTAGATGAACTTTCTACACTTAAACTTTTTAGCGACGGACATTTAAAATCATCTAAATTAAACACATTTAATGTATATTTTTCTAACCATTTTTGTTTTTCTAAACCTTTTACATAAACAGTAGGTGTACCTATTAGTACTTCTTTTATTATAGGTTGTAATTCTTCATAAGATACGTCACCAGCAGCCCAATCGATACCATGATAATTATTTGTAAGCCATCGATTCTCACATTTGTATCTTGCAGGTAATCGGCTTCAGGCATATGGCGGCTCGAAGAGGTAGACCAATGGATGAGCATCTTGTTGAAGTGGTAGAATCGCCAACTCTTTGATGACAAAGTCGTTGTAAGGACTTTTGAAGCATTGAATATCTACGACGTACGCCATGGTATCTGAAATAGAATAATGGCTCAAGCCTTAGAGAGACGCTCTCTTTATAGCCTTTCCCCCACCACTCCAAATACCCCCACTACCGATGTCGTCTATGATTGGTCATTATTTCCACCAGTCACGTTACTTTTTTAACAACGCCGCTGATTGGTGTATACTGTATAATGCGGTCGTGAATTATAAGGCAATATGCAGCTGTATTGGCTGGAAAATTTTCATTTGCTTCAAATTCCAATCGCACATCTACAGATGCTTGTTTTAGAAATTCGTTTTGTTTTGAGCAATCAATAACAGCCAATGGTGCATAATCTTTAAAGTTATTTCTAGTTAATAAAGGTTCAGATTCTTTTCCATAGTAGGATGGTTGAAAATTACAATACATATCATATAGTATGGAAAATTTGTTTTGAGTAAAATTTAAATTTAAATTTCCATAAGGATAGTACTGTGAGTTTAAGAAAAGTTTAACATTGTGAAGATTACAGGCATCAAATAAATTTGCATACCTTCCTTGATCTTCTTTTCGATTTGTTTGAAAACCAAGATTAACATATCGAGGTTTTTCAACTTGTGTTGAAGTTTTTACAGTCCACACATGCTTTTGAGTGGCAGGAATCATAGGATACTCATATAAATCCCATGATCTAAAACTCATTGTTATAAGTGAGTCTTTTTCAATGAATTTCAATAATTCAATTTTTTGGCGATCATTTACCATTAAATATGGAATCAACCATTCAACTTTATTAATTAAAATTTTAAATTCTTCACGCTCAGCTGCTCCAATGTTTACTACAGCATTGAGATCAGTACGAGATCTTGTTAAAATAAGTTCATGTTTTGCATTTACAACAATCTTTCGATAGTCTTCAGCAAAACCAATAATCATACTTAGTGGAATATTTACATCAAAATATCCAGCATCATTTGTTACTCTACTATCATCATCATAAGGTAGATAACCAGCATTTTCTGAGTAAATCATTTAATTAGGTGTTTGAGAAATTAGATTTTTCATTGTGGTTGTAATACCAACATTTTTAGAGCGATCAATTTCAACACCATTTAATTCATAACGAATCTCATTAAACAGGTAGGAAATGCCATTGCTAATTAACTTTGTATTAGTTACAAGCGTATTGTTTAACTTAACAATTCTGCCAGTGACGTGTAAAGTACTTTTAGAGGGAAGAATGTACAAGTCTTGATGTTGAACTGCAATTCGAATCTCGTCACTGTTATTAAATGCTGATGACACGTATGGTTGCCATTGAACTGCGTAAAACCGAGGTACTACTCAACAAACCGATCTATGTGGGGTTAAGTGTGCAAAACGCTTATTTACGATGTTCACTACGGGTATATGTTAAAAAAATACGGCGACAATTGTAAACTGATGTATACCGATACAGACAGTCTAATCTACAAAATTAAATGTAAAGATGTCTTCAATGACATGAAAAATGACATCAAAAAGTTTGATACGTCAGACTATCCCGCAAACAACGTGTACGGCATTCCGCAAGCCAACAAAAAGATTATGGGTCTAATGAAAGATGAATGTAACGGCAAGATCGTTACCGAATTTGTTAACTTGCGGAGTAAGATGTACAGCGTACGTGTTGAAGGTCAAGACTTTATTAAAAAAGCCAAAGGCATTAAATCCGGCGTTGTGAAAAAATCGATTCACTTTGATGATTATGTAAAATGTCTGCGAGATTTCGACATTCAAACTCGAACACAGTATAATATAAGATCACGACTACACAACCTTGAGACTGTAAAACAAATAAAACTAGCTTTAAGTCCGCAAGACGACAAACGGTATTTGTTACCGGGGAGTACCGACACTCTACCGTGGGGACATTATGCGATCCCCACAATCGACGAATTATTTTGTAAAACATGATTGTAAAAAATAAAATGTTTGTTAATAAATAATGCAATTATATACAATTTCCATGTGTTTTTATTTAAAAAATCCTTCCATATATACATAATAACATGATTAAAACTTATATTAATGTAATATAATTTAAATGTGCAAATCGCCCCCAGTAATTTAACGCAAATGCCAATCAGCCAGCAAAGCAATCAAAAATTAATGTTAGCGAAGAATCTCTTTATAAATAAAAACTACTTCCAACAACAGACCTTCACAATGCCAGTGCCAACTGATTTAATATTGATTCATTATTGATTCATTATTGATTTAATATTGATTTAATATTGATTCATTATTGATTCATTATTGATTCATTATTGATTCATTATTGATTCATTGTTGATTCATTATTGATTTATTATTGATTCATTATTGATTCATTGTTGATTCATTATTGATTCATTATTGATTCATTGTTGATTCATTAATGATTCATTATTGATTCATTATTGATTCATTGTTGATTCATTATTGATTCATTATTGATTCATAGTTGATTCATAGTTGATTCATTATTGATTCATAGTTGATTCATAGTTGATTCATTATTGATTCATTATTGATTCATTATTGATTCATTGTTGATTCATTATTGATTCATTATTGATTTATTATTGATTCATTGTTGGTTCATTATTGATTGATTGTTGATTCATTATTGATTCATTATTGATTCATTATTGATTCATTATTGATTCATTGTTGATTCATTATTGATTCATTATTGATTCATTAATGATTCATTATTGATTTAATGTTAATTAAATTTGGCACTGGCAGTGTAAAGGTCTGTTGTTGGCTGTAGTTTTGATTTATAGAGAGGTTCTAAGCTAACATTAATCTTTGATTGATTTGCTGGTTGATTGACATTTGCGTTAAGTTACTGGGGACGATTTGCGAATAATAGATTATACATTTGCTTTATCTTCCCACGTATTGTGAGAATTATCA